CTGCCATTTATTATTTCAGACACGACAATCCGGAACGAGTGCCCTGATGAGGAGGAGGATATTCTGATTTTGGATGTTGATGATGATCTTCTACTAGAAATGGATTTGCTGTTGCAGAATATGACTTTGTGATTTTGTTTTTAAATGTAGTTTGATTTCTTTAAATGAACAGATATTGACTATTTTGATTATTTTAAGTTAATCTTGAATATAGTTTGATTATTTGTAACTGATAAATCTAGTTGTAGATTTCTTTAAATGAATAAATATTGTCTGTAGTTTGATTATTTTAAGTTAATAAATCTTGAATGTATCTTGATTATTTGAAATTAATAAATCCAGTTGTATTTTGGTTTCTTTAAATGAATAAATATTGACTGTATTTTGATTATTTAAAATTAATAAATCTAGTTGTTATATAAACAGAAAACAAAGAGTCCATTATTTTTTTAGAACAGTCAGCTGTGTCAGTTGCATGATTAAGAAAAATGTTTCCCGTATGCTTAATTAGTTCAGCACTATGCCACAGAGATGTATGAGGCCATGGAGGTGTAGTTCCACCGTTCTTGACCATGGCACCAGATGGAGGTGAGTGGTCACCTTCACTCCCTCCTGATTTATCCCCAGTACAGGCTGGATAGGAGGCCGAGATGGGGGCTTTGCAAACTGTTGCTTATCAGAATGAGAATTGTTACAAATACAGAACCACTGTGGTGCACTGGCAGCATTGCTAACTAGAATTTAGAAACCTGCTGCTCATTTGTCTGCTTCAGTAATTAAATGATTATTTGAAATGCATTCGTGTTGTAATATATGGGTATAATGATCACGNATGCTGTTCAGTAGGTAGGAAACTGTTTTTTATCAAGTAGACCTAGGTGCATTTTTGGCACCACAAAATGGCTTTATTTTATTTTGTCTAAAGGGATCAGGAATCAACTAGGGACCTTTTCCTGGAGTTTGTTTTGTTTGCTTAATTTTAATTTGTCTCTGTTTTTAATCAGTCAAGGACTGCAGCATGAAGGCATATGTTGAATGGCAGGTGAGTTGTCGGCTTCAGCCCTGGCCACTTTATCACCAGGGAAAGAGCTCCAATACCCATTGGATAGGATGCTGGGTGGGCGCCACAGCCGGTGTGGACACTGCGAAAGAGAAGCATTCCTGGCCCTTATCAGGAACCGACTGAGCTCTTTTGTCATAAAGTTAAAAATACCCCAAGCACAACTTTCTTCACAAGCATTTTAGATCACTTTTTGGTCATTGCAACAACACATGGTTATCGTCTGGAAAACGGATGAAATTAAAATATTCAAAATGGAAAATTCACATACAATGATGATAAGTTCGCGCTGTTCATT